CCCCCCCCCCCCCTTTTCCTTCCCTATTCCCTCGCTACGAGAAACTTATGCATTTAATTGTAGCAACTGCCAACAGCAACCATCCACTGGAAAGACTATCAACGGGTTTCTTTTCGAAAATGGCTTAGAAGCAAACTAGCAGCGGTTTTGACTCAACGGCATGAGTCAGTACCAAGTTACCATCGAAGAGAATGAACAAATCTACATACTACTTATCCACTGACGGATCCAGGGGGGAGGGGAGTGAGGGGCCTTCCGCCAGAGGCTCAGGTAGCAGCTGTTTTACTGGACAAAAGTATGCTCGGTACTGCCTACCGCCTCCCGCCCTCCTCCCCTCTCCCCCCTCAGAAGACCGCCCTGGATCCGCCTATGTGCTTACCAAATATTCGAAATAATAATAATAATAATAATAATAATGATAATAATAATAATAAGCAAAAATAGCTTGTACTCACTCGCTCAAGAATTCTACTAATTGCTGCGCTGTGAATTGTTCGCCAAGCTGATCCGTTAAGCGTACAAAATTACCGCGAAGCGTCTCGTTACAATATATTTGCAATGATGGAAGACCAATTTCTCGCTGAAACTGGCAAAATCAATACTTTTTTCAAAAAATATCAAAAAAAGTCATAAGCAGAATGAAACTATCTGTAATCTCGAGGCAAAAACTCGCGGGAATAAAAATTTATATGACTTAATGGACCGAAACATTTCTTACCAATTACAAATATTTTAATAATACTCCCATTTCCCTTTTTTCTAATTCGCTTTCCTTCCCTTCTTTTTCCATTACATCATTTTCTGTCTTAGCCTTCGATAGAAATGTATTTTAAAGTATGAAAAAGGACAAAAGAGAAAATAATATTAAGGAAGTAGTAGAAGTAATAAAATCATTCTAATAAAATTATTATAATGGTAAGAAATGCTTCGGTCCATTAAGTCGTATACAATAGTAGAGCAGGAGGACTGGACTTAGCTGTCATGTACAAAAGGATAATTTACGATGTAGCCTGTGTTTCATCCTTTAGCTGTAAACACAAACCGGACTATGCACATGCGGGTAGAAGTGGGAATCGTCAGTACAGCCTCCTACTATCCGCCATGTATTGAAAGGACATATAACTAATTTGCAAGACAGATAAGTGAAAGAAAAAGAGAGAGAGTCGGAAAGTGCAACAGCATGAAAGTAATGAGAATGTGGAGGAAACTAACATATGATATGGGTAGTAATTCTATATAGTTATGAAGAGGCAATAAATCGAGAAACTTACGAACTGAGATGACATTCCAACCACTGATGGTAACACTTTCGCCAATTTCACGTATGGATATTTCAAGGCAAGCTGATTGAAAATTTTGTTCAGTGTTACGCAACCTTCGTTATCATCATCGTAGATGTGTATCAGAATCCAGCAATCACGATTGGTTTCAATAAAATCCAAAAATTCCTCTTTTTTTGTTATTTCGACGATCTATTTGAACAAAAAAAAAATCGCTTTATCATTGCAGTTTACAACGTAAAACAGCGAAAAAGTTTCAATTTAACGATTTAACTTTTTGATATTTTTTTGATATTTTTTTTCTTTTTGATATTTTTTTAACTTTTTTTACACTGATATCTTAAAAAAACCGGTAAAATCTAGCTAATCTTATTTTTCCTCAAAAATACACAAAATTTTTGCAGAAATACAAGAAAATTTACTTTTCCTCTGGCCAATGTGAAATCTGCTAATTCTTGAATTCTTTTGCTTCGAAGCATTTCTAAATCCGAGTTGTCGTCGCGCCCCGATAAAGTGCAGTATTTTGCCGCATTAAGAATCTGAAAAACAATTTTTTTTTGCTTTAAAATGGAAGTTTTCTGATTGAGACTACTTTGGGAAAAGTGAACATCCATAGGGAAAATACGCGGACCCAGGACGAACACCTACGTAAGGGCGACA